CACCACCTTGATCAGCAGAACGAAACCATTTGAGAAATTAATTATAGAGTACCTGAAACATCTACGCGAAAGTTAAAGAAAAGATGTCATTTATATTTAATTTCTATTTTTAGTTATGGCGGCCATATTGAACAACAGACCAAAACTGTGATCATTGCTTTATAGAAATCTATCCAAGGATCATTGCAATAGTGTTTTAAAATAATTAAGGAGTAGATCTCGTTTAAAGCCCCTGGCCTCCAGATGATAAAATGAAAAAGAAATCAAGTAAAAGGTTAATAGTAGTCTGGTTAGGTTTAATATGTAAATCTATTATTACTGACATCTTAATTGAAACAAAAGCGTCACTATAATTATTGCGTTTCTTCTTTGCATTATCTACTGCGTTACCAGTAGTAGTAGCCAATAATAATTACGAAAAGTTAATTCATTCAACATTTTGACGTGTCACAACAGTGGTTCGGAAAAATTCCGGGATCCGGTACGCTCGGTGAGGTATATTAATGTTCCTTCATGAGGAGTCCCTAGTCATATTTCAAGTTTAGATCGATATGGTATAATTAATAAATTATAATTTTGAGTGCAACAAGTTACTACAAATATCAAAACGAAAGCAGTTTATTTGTTTCCCTCTATGTTTGCAACGATTTCGAATTTTGTGCGTTCCGGTCACAAGCCGTGATATTGTCCCGGTACTAAAATGAAACCCAGATGAATGAATTCCGTAGTAAAATAGTAAAAAAGAAGGTATATCCCATTTGGCAGAAAAGCTTTCTAATTGTTTATAGGGCAAAAATGTTAAACTATGATCATTTTGAAGTGTCATTTAATATATTAGCAAGACGGTATTTGTTTCTCTTATCTTTTTGCCCCATGTTCACAAAAATTTAAGTATCAGGATCAAATCTAAAATCTTCAACGGACCGGAACCACTTGAGCAATTGCTATAAAGACTGTGAATCGGGCTAGTCGACTGTGCAGGTCACTTTCTTTGTGATTGATCATGAAATAATTTCGATGGTTATTCAAAAGTTATCAGTTCTAGCAACTACTACCAGAAAACTGCTTAAAAGCCTGTCCAGGAACGATGCGATGGCTGAACTGTTCTTTAATTTGAGGTAAAATTACCAACACTACCACGACCATTGCTGTATAGTTCATCAAAATATAACAAACAAAACTATTGTTTTGCTATGCAACATAACATTAAATGAACTAAAGACAATGCAGTTGCATTTTTTCTTTACTTAAAGTTTTAAAGTTTTCAATATTTTGTTATTTCTCGAATATCTTGGTCTTGAAAGTACGAATTTCATATTAATCTTGGCTTCTAAAGTACAAATATTGATAGAGGGGTCGAAATGTCTTAGCCATTAGGGGTCGGAAATTCATTTAAAAAGTGGTAGGAGTGTTAAGGTGTCTAGAAGTCATCTTAATATCCTAAGGGTCGAGAAGTCAAGTTTCTTACTTGCCTACCAGTTGATGCATCATCTAAATATCTAAACCCAGAGAAGATGATTTATAATTTAAGTACATTGTATATGTAAACTAAGCAACACCACTAAACAAAGGTGGGATATTTTAACCCCAGGGGCATGACGTACATAACATTTATAAATATCCACTAGGCGGTGCTACATGCCAAATATGTAAGCTATGGAATTACAGTTGCACAAACGATGACTTAAATGGTTTATGTGTACACTAACTTCTAACACTATCAGTTAGGTGAACCCTTATGGGGGCAAATAAATATATTTTTATCCAATGAGCATGATTTATATATCCTTTGTTAATGACAACAAGGCGATGTTACATGTCACAATTATCTACGATCGAGGTATGACTGTTTCTGAGAACAAGTTTTTTAATGATCATATTTGAAGTCTATTTTTATCTTTTGCAACCTTCTAATGCACTAGACTGAAACCGTTTATACCACTTTTTAGGACGACCTGAGAATCATGTCTGCATGGTCAAAATCCATCAAGTGGTTTCAAGGGAGGTGTTGTTTTAAGAAAATGTGGACAACGACAACAGACGGACACACTGTCATCACAAAACTCACTTTTGAGCGCATTGTGCTACATTAATCTAAAACAACAAGTTCATTTCATTCAGAACAATGCTGTCAGCAGCAGATAAATGACGCATTAAAATTTCAAAAAGTGGAGGAATAAGACGGACAGTATCGTTGGGGAATGGTTAGTATACTCGTGATCGGGTGATTTCATATTGACCTGTTATTTGGTCAAAAGACATTTGTATCTTTTTAATTTTTTTGTGTTTTTTATTTATTTACTTTTTGAAACAAAAAAGCGACTTTCATTCTTTAAATTCCTATCAACGCTTCGTATTGGCAAAAGTACGTACATTGACCTTCCTTTTCAGCATTTGCCCTGCTTCCCTCGTATTGGTAATCTTATATTAGCATTGTGCTGGCTAGAATAGTATGGTACACAACAATGTTAAACTTTTTTTTCACAACTAATGCTTCAGGGAATACAAATTGAATAAAAGACGAGACGAGAAATGTCGAACAACAGATATGCCCCCCTTTTTAGCCCTCGACTCATACTATTAGTAATTATGTTATAGAAACATGCTATAAATGGGTACATGGAAGAGTTAAGTTATGGAAAAGAAAATACAGTCGACATTGTATTAAGAGACCACTCAAGGGACTGCCAAAAAGTGGTCTCTTAATAAAGTGGTCTCTCAATAGAATTCTGGAAAATTCGAGACTTTTTATTACAAGTCATAGATATAATAACATCTTTTTTATAAAAACAAAAAATATACAATTTGATGTATGTATTACCGTTTTATAATTACATTTATGCCTTTTTTTTAAAAAAAAAGTCATCAATATTGTTTGTTTTTGATTTTTAGCAGAAATTTGTGTACAAATGTGTTTTACGCTCATAATACTGTAAACAGGTCATTTTGACCATGATACAAAGCATATTGTCTTATATTTTTAATATGTTCATACACATCTCCTGCTGAACATACTTTAGAATCATCAGCCAGAGCTCCAGATAATTATTTATGCAATGAGTTTTAATAAACTTCTTGATTTTTTCAACAATTTGTTTTCACACTACCCCGATTTCAAATTCAATAAGATTTTTAGAGATCAAGGATTTGTTTGCCTTTTTTTGTCGAAGGGTCATATTTAATGGGATACTACATGTATTTTGTAAAGCATCAGATGAGCACCTACACCATCAGCAATGAAAGGCTCGGCTCTGTAATGTTTAGTCTACTAGGTTTCACGATTTTATTTCGACTACAATCGGTGACATTTGCTATTTACTCAGACTCAATTCCATGCACGATTTCCTCATACAATTTATCCGGTCTTATTAGTTGTCTGTCTTTTTTTCGCTCGATCAGTTTAACAGTTTGAACAGTTTATTGAAAATGCTGGGCCTCATAGAGGCATCAGTCACATATACAATAATATATACATATCCGACATCATTTTCGATAAGGGAGGTCACTCTCAGCACATGACAAAACTATGCAAACGCGGTGTTGTGATACGTTATTGCTCTGACAAAATATGTCACAATAAATATTACGATCGGAAAATCCGATTTTGAAACGATTGCAATTGTTATTCATTTCGTTTTTAAACGACAATTACTTGTGACCAATGACCATGAAAATTATTTGTTTGTTTGCTTGTACACATCTAACCTACTCGCTAATTACACAGGTGAGAATGCCCGCAGGGACGATTGTTTGTCACGGCCGTTTAATAGATACTTTAACACTTAATTTTGTACATTTGGGCCGACATTCAGTGGCCGCTGGCCGCGATATAAAATAGTCGTTTAATGGAATTAAATTAAATAGTAAAAATCATCGGGAGGGATTTTATGCGGCCGCTTAATAAAAAAGTCGCTTAATAAAGGTGGCCGCAAGTACGATGCCGACTGTATGACCAATTTATGACCTGAAACTGAATAAAAGAAAGCTGTCATTGTTAGAGGGTAGCAAGAATAAAATAAATATTATCATATAAATGTAACAATTCTGGCATTTAAGGCCCCTGTGACCTTGACATTTGACCCCAAAATCAATAAGGGTCATCATCTGACCAATCATTATGGGAAATATGAAGAGCTGGTAATAAATAGTTTTTAGATAATGAGCCGAAACCATTCTGACATTTAATGCACATGTGACCTTGACCGTTGACCTTGTGACCAGAAAGTCAATAGGGGTCATCTACTGAAAATGACCAATCAGTATGTGAAATAATAAGACTTTGTGATATATAGCTTTTAAGATAACCAGCGGAAACCATTCTGATATTTAAGGCCCCTTTGACCTTGATCTTTGACCTAGTAACCCCAAAATCAATAGGCATCATTACCTCGTTATGAATAATCAGTTTGTGAAACATGAAGACTTCGTGATGAATAGTATTCAAGATAATCAGCGGAAACCATTCTTACATATCAGCGGAAACAATGTGGCCTAGAGACCGACAGACAGACAGACCGACCGACAGACCCACCGACCGACACACCCACCGACATAAGCAAAACAATATACCCCCTCTTCTTCGAAGGGGGGGGGGGCGTACAAATACTCATGATCAACAATTATGGCGTTTCAGTATAACAAAAATGTCTTTTACGATGTAGTAACTTAGAGTACAAAATGAATATCATATGAACGTTTTTGACACAGAAACTGACAACAAGGCTTGTGGTATATAAAATGAATTTGAGATAGATTTTATTTTTGGGGGATAAAAGCGATGCTAGATGGCGTAAAATATGCATTGATACAGACTTCTGGACTCAGGAAATGAACATGAGAATAATAAGATTAGATCAAATAATGAATTGATGATATTAAAACATCATATGGTGCAAAACTGAAGTTTCAATGGTTATATGTTGTAAGGGGTGAAGTACAAAGGAATACGTTTAGTAATATATATAGAAAACAAATGAAGTTATGTGATTAATATCACTTACTTTGTTTAGAATCAATATATTCTTTTTCTTTCTCGTCTTTACTTGCTATTTTCAGTGCTTTTTGTAACGTCTCTCCTAATCCAGCCAGGTCTGCTCGTTCTTTTTCTCCTTGTTCATGAATTTTCCCAACTTCTTTGTCCCGTTCTTCATGCAGTCTTTTAACAGAAGCATCAGCTTCATCTTTTAATTGTGACTGAAGAGATAGAAGATCTTCTTGTTTTCTTTTTATCATATCTAGTTTAATTCTGTCATATTGCTCGTCTAATCCAGCCTTCATCTTGTCTTGTATTGCCTTTGCCACATAGTCTAGTACTTTTCTTACATCATCTTTACCAATGATTAAAATATCATTTTCTAACTGTAATTATAAATACAATACAAATATACAATATAAAATTTTAAAAAGGTAAATAAATAAAAAAATACAAAATAAATAAACAATAAATAAATAAATACATAAATAAAATGAACCAATATTAAAACAAATAAAAAATAAAAAATGTAGTAGTGGTAGTGGAAGTGGTGGTGGTAGTAGTAGTAGTAGTAGTAGTAGTAAATTTAGTAAATTAGTAGTAGTAGTATTAAGTAACAGTAGAAAGAAGCGGTAGTAATTGTAGTAGTAGTGTTAGTAGGTAGCAGTAGTAAGTAGCAGTAGTGTGTAGTAGTTGTTATTGTAGTAGTGGCAAATTGTAGAAGTAGTTAGTAATAGTAGTAAGTAGCAGCAGTAAGTAGCAGTAGTAAGATACAGTTGTTATTATAGAAGTAGTAGTAGTAAGAAGAAGTTGTAGAAGAAGTTGAAGAATAAGAAAGAAGTTTAAGAGGAAGAAGAATGGGTAGTAGTAGTAGTTGTGGTAGTAGTAGTGGCAGTTGTAGTTGTGGTGGTAGTGGAAGTGGTGGTAGTAGTAGTAGTAGTAGTAGTAGTAGTGGTAGTGGTAGTTGAAGTGGTAGTAGTAGTATTAGTGGTAGTGGTAGTGGTAGTAGTAGTAGTTGTGGTAGTAGTTGTGGTAGTGGAAGTGGTAGAAGTAGTAGTAGTAGTATTAGTAGAAGTAGTGGTAGTGGTGGTAGTTGTGGTGGTAGTGGAAGTGGTGGTAGTGGTAGGATTAGTGGTAGAAGTAGTAGTAGTAGTAGTAGTATTAGTAGAAGTAGTGGTAGTGGTGGTAGTTGTGGTGGTAGTGGAAGTGGTGGTAGTGGTAGGATTAGTGGTAGAAGTAGTAGTAGTAGTAGTAGTATAAGTAGTAGTAGTAGTAGTAGTAGTAGTAGTAGTAGTACTAGTAGAAGTAGTGGTAGTGGAAGTGATAGTAGTGGTAGTGGTAGTGGCAGAGGCAGCGGCAGCGGCAGCGGCAGCAGCAGTAGCAGTAGCAGTAGTAGTAGTAGTAATAGTAGTTGTAGTAGTAGTACTGGTGGTGGTGGTGGAGGTGGTGGTGGCGGTGTCGGTGGCGGTGGCAGTGGCAGTGGAAGTAGCAGGAGCAGTAGCAGTAGTTGTAGTAGTAGTAGTAGTGATGGTAGTGGTGGTGGTGGTAATGGTTGTTGTATTGGTTAGACTGGTAGTGGTAGTAGTAGTGGTGGTGGTAGAGGTAGTGGTAGGGGTGGTGGTGGTGGTAGTAGTAGTAGTGGTAGTGGTGGAAGCGGTAGCGGTAGCAGTAGCAGTAACAAGAGCTGTCGGTAGGACAGCAACGCTCGACTTTTCTTAGTGCTTGATAGCCAAAAAAGCCTTGATTAAAAGGTAAAATTTTCTCAGTAAAGAAAAAGGCAAATTTTTTCTTTAAATCCATATTACAGTTATAGGCATTGAAGAGAGTCCTATTATGCTCTCAAAGAAGAGTATAAAATTTCAACATGTTTCACAGCCTTATTTCAATGAACTTTGAAAATATTTGAGGTATAACAAATACTTTAACGTAAACTCTAAGTCGAAAAGGGGGCATAATTCTGTCAAAATGCTTGATAGAGTTACCTCCTCCTGTTAACAGGTTGGGGTCATGATGGTCAACAAGTACATGCAAAGTTTTAAGGCCATATGTCAATGCATTTTGAAAATATTTGAGGTATTACAAAAACTTTAACGTAAATTCTAAGTCGAAAAGGGGAATAATTCTGTCAAAATACTTGATAGAGTTACCTCCTCTTGTCTACAGGTTGGCATCATGATGTTGAACTAGTGTGCAAAGTTTCAAAGCCATATGTCAATGGACTTGAAAATATTTGAGGTATTACAAAAACTTTAACGTAAGTTCTAAGTCGAAAAGGGGCATAATTCTGTCAAAATACTTGATAGAGTTACTTCCTCTTGTCTACAGGTTGGAATCATGATGGTGAACTAGTGTGCAAAGTTTCAAAGCCATATGTCAATGGACTTTGAAAATATTTGAGGTATTACAAAAACTTTAACGTAAATCCTAAGACGAAAAAGGGGCATAATTCTGTCGAAATGCTTAATAGAGTTACCTCCTCCTGTCTACAGGTTGGGGTCTGTGTACAAAGTTTCAAAGCCATATGTCAATGGACTTTGAACATTTTTGAGGAATTACAAAAACTTTAACATAAGTGGTTACGCCGACGCAGACGCCGACGCCGACGCTCGGGTGACTTCAATAGCTCTACTTATTCTTATCTAATAGTTGAGCTAAAAAGGGTAAGTAGCAGAAGTAAGTAGCAGTTGTAATTGTAGTAGTAAGAATTAGTAGTAAGTAGTTATAGTAGAAGTATAGATGTTTACCTCTGTCAGCTTCTTTTTAGCATTCTGTGCATGCGTGTCTGTAGCTAAATATACTTTATCAGAAAGTAGTTTCTGTAATAGTTTTAAGTATTTTTGAAGATCTGTATCCTCTATTTCAAGTGTTGAAGAATGTCGCACTTTTCTTCCAATTTCCCTTGCCTGGTCAAAATTGAATAACAATTTTTAGTTACTTTTACCTAAAACCTATAGGTTGAGTATAAAATATATACGTTTACTGTGTAAGAAACTGTTACGTTATACATGTAGTAAAATAATACTTACTAGGACTTGTATAAATAATGAATTACAAACACGATAAGAGCTTTGTTGAGCTTAAATGTCAAAGCTAGAGGTGTGGTCTGCTAGGGGTGTGGTCTGCTAGGGGAGTGGTTTGATAGAGGAGTGGTCTGCTAGATGAGTGGTCTGCTTTTTGCATTAACCACTGCCGTTTGCCAAGGGTCGTTGTCATATTTTCCCGGGAGTATTAATAATGTTGTAGTGTTACGTACCAGTACCTCTCTTTAATACAATTATGATATCAAAATCGATATAAAAATTGTTTCAAAAATGAACGCTTCGTAAAAAAATTACTGAGGAATGTAGGAGTGCTTGCTTACAAGGAACTATATAACAAAAAAGACAAAATGCAATGGGCAACAATTTACCTAAAATAATTGATATGCACAAAGGCTCAGATGAATTTGGTTTAATCCCTATGACAAGATAAGAAGTTGATGACTACTGAAGATCATTTCTTCTCTATATTCAGCACAAAATTTGGGGTTAAAAATCACTACTCAGTCCTGTATATTTTCTTATCACGAAACCATCTCAAAATGTATCTTCACACATGGTGGTTATACTTCTGTTAAATTAAGTTTGAAATTTCTAAGAAAGTAAAAAAATCTTAAAAATACATACTTTGGGAGCAGAATAAATTCTTTATACTCGCCTACAAATCTTTTTTATCGACATTCCCCTTTGAAACAATGTGCTTTATTTTCAGAAAGCATAACAACAATCTAAGTGTATTATATATATCATACAATACTGTTACATATCTTACTTTAGATCACTGAAATATGCAATTCTTGTTTTTTTTTGGTAACTGAGGACCAAACACAAGTCTAAATAAATAGTATCTTAATATTGATTACCTCCTCAAACATATTCGCCTTATTATTGAGGTTTTCATGTATTTTCCCCTGGAAGTCTTTGTAATTGAGAATAACGCTGATTATACCATTGAAGTCTGTTTCTGCTGCAGACGTTTTATCTTTATACCCATCTGGAGGCATGAAGCATTTCGCCACTTCCCAGAAATTACTACACCACTGTGAAGCATCAGTGTTTTTGTAAGATGGACCAGAGTACCTATGTACATTTTGTATCTCAGTTGTGAAATTATGACATATTTTGTTAGGGCAGCCGGCAGGATTATACCTTGTTGCAGCATTTCGATGATAACTGCATTTTCCGCGTCCAACATTACATATTCTATTTGTTGGACATTTGATAACATTTTCTGTACAGCAATTCGAACACAAAGTCCCACTAAATAGTCCATTTTGGTAACATATATCATCTAAGCATTTCAATTGGAATTGTTTGATTTCATTGCAAACAAAAGGTTCAATACCTTCTTTAGTCAACAACACTGCTAACTGAGATTTAACCCAGTTATTGTATTTCTTTTCTAAAAGTTTAGGGCTATAAGAAGCCATGACTTGCAAACTTTGTGTCTTCCAACTTAAAGAATTATATACACTGGCATGTTTTGTAAGCTTAGCTCCAGGTAAACCTGAAAAAAATAATTATATAAAATGCCATAGTATATTATTACTTTTCAAGAGGGATCTTTCACTATCATTTAAAGGTGTAATGCAATTATTTAGTAAATAAATGCAATGAGGGACTTTAGTGGATTATCTTCCCTTGATAAAAACCGAGGTAAACCAAAATGTAAGTAGGTCCAAATATTTGGAATCCTTTGATTTTATCGTTGAGTTTTATGTAAGACAGGTTGATATGTCTTAATCAATTATTTCAACATGCATCAACAAATATGTAAACCTTAAGCAAAAAAATGTTTCATTTATGTCAACAGGTTATACACCTTATCGCAAAATTTAATCTGAATATTACAAAATTTAATGATCATAATTAGCCCTAATTATTTTGGTTGGTTCAAAGAAATAGGCGATAAAGTCCGAGTAATCCAATAGCTTAGGACCTACCTATTTATAGGGAGTACTCAGGGGAGGTTATTCGCTAAAGTCCCTCATTGTTTTCAGTTTTCATACTCTTTAAGATAACAGTGCTTGTTAAAAAGAAATAAAAATGCAGAAATTCAAGCAATTCAAGCCTGAAAATATTGGCAGATATATCAAACTTTGAATTTCAAATTTATAATAATATTACAATAGTAATATAAATCCGTGGTTGAACATTTCTATCGGGCAATAAATTTATCTGAACAGACATATCGTCAAAGTTTACCATAGGGTTAATTCAGCTTGGCACCACTTTATATAACATTTAAATGGTAAACACCGAGAACCGAAAATGTGTGACAAGCAAGGCAGTTCATTCATGTATGCGGTACATAATATTATGGAGCTGTTTTGGAAACCAATTTGTTTAATGGATATTGGTCTCCATTCCTTTTGCAAATATCACCTACAGTGTTATTTTTTCTTCAACAACTTTCTATCACTTGAGCTTTGTGATGTTCATTAAGCAATTTACACATGTATCGTCTAACATTCTGACAATAATGCCTTGGTTCATTATAAAAATGAACCGGTTGAACCGGGTGATGTTCCCCGAGAAGGTTTTGGACACAGGAAAGTAAAAAAAACGAACAAAAGGCAATAACTCCGTGATGATATTTTTTATAGTTTCAGGGTTATGTCCCAGGTAAAATTCAAAGTGTAAAAATGAACAAACATTGCTGTTGTATCCAATGAGATCTATCTACATACAAAGTTTCATGTTGTTATCTCTTATAATTTAGAGTTATGTCCTGGACAAAAGTCAAAAAGTAAAAACAATCAAAGGGCAATAACTTCACAAAAAGGCAAGGCAGAGCTATGGTTCTTTAGTACCGCACATCTTACTAATTAGTTATTAATTATAGGTAGATATATCTACCAATTGTTTGTTTGTTTGTTTGTTTCATTTTACGCCTTTTCCCAACAGTATTTCAGTCATATAGGCGGGTAGTTTCCTAACCATCGTTCCTGGAGAGTTACACCAGTACTAGACTACCTTTCTCCGCGCTAAACTACCAAAGCATCTCCCGGGGATCGAACCCACGCCAGAGAGGTAACTGGATTAGAAGTCATCGACTCTAACCCCTCGACCACGGAGGCGGATATATCTACCAATAAAGTTTCATGTTGATATCTCTTATAGTTTTAGAGTTATGTCCTGGACAAAAGTCAAAAAGTAAAAACAAACAAAGGGCAATAACTTCAAAATAAGGCAATGCAGAGTTATGGTTCTTAAGTACCGCACATCTTACTAATTAGTTATTATTAAAGGTAGATATATCTACCAATAAAGTTTCATGTTGAAATTAGTCAAGACAGAGTAATGTTTTTTTCAGAACTTCACTTCTACTAAATGAGACCTATCTACCTATAAAGTTTCATGTTGATATCTCTTATAGTTTTAGAGATATGTCCCGAAAAAGTTCAAACTGTAAGAATGAACAAAGGGCAATCACTCCAAAATTAGTCAAGACATAGTAATGGTTTTTCACCATTTCACTTCTACTAAATAAGACCTTTCTACCAACAAAGTTTCATGTTTATATATCTTATAGTTTTAGAGTAATGTCCCGGACAATGTTCAAGTGTGAAAATGAACAAAGGGCAATAACTAAAAAAAAAGGCAAGGCAGAGCTACGGTTCTTTAGCACTGCACTTTTACACCTTGAGAAATATATAGTATAGGGCTCTCTAACAAATAACACAATACTTGTATATTGTGCTGTTTTTATCATTATCGTTCATTTCATGTCAGCTTTTATAGGACTCAGCCTAAAAGGAAATTTCTAACATCAAAAGAGTAACATACGTAGTGGTTTGTTATTTTACGAACATGAAATGCTCCAGAATCTGCTCTACAGTAGGCCCCCTATCTGCCCTCAAGTTTGTTAATAAATTCCTTGTTCGTGCGTATCAGACAAAAAGCCATTGATTACAAAAATGTTGTATAGATCTTATTTTGTTTAACCTTATAAGAGTTTTACACTGGCTGCCGGTACAGACCTGAATATCTAGCTCGAGTGTAACGGTTTACGGTGGTAACGAGGCCCTGTCGAGTTTCCGCTAAACAGTTACCCAAGAGCTTGATGTTCCGGTATGAATCGACTGCCGGTGTTTGATTGTTTTTCTTGCATACTGAATTTTTGTAATATAAGTGATATAAGTGAAACTGATATTTTCATTATTTTGTCTATAGTAGCGTATGAATTACAAACGTCATTCATAACGGTAAGATGACGTCCTCCTTAGGACGACTTTTAAAGCCCGCGACTTGTCTTAACGTAGGTGTAAGATTTTCCAGCACTGGTGTTCACGGGAGATAATCCTGTCTGATATGCAAAAATCCATGATCGATTCTATTTATATTATCATATTGTTCGGCGCTATGTTTACACTATCTTTGTAAAAACTTTTACTTGTGGGCGAAATGACTACTTCGGTGACCGATTACCACATTATACCTGACATTGACGTAGTTATCAAATCAAAACTGGGAAAACCCGATCACATATTGACATTGAAACATTATAACCATGCAGTATCTTCATTACTTTTAATTTTAAAGCTACAGAACAGTAAAACATTGGGTTCATGTGCTGTCAGAGCAATAATTGCGTTTAACAAACTGGCCCAGTTTTTCACAATGGGTCTGGACCTATAGCCACTTAAACACAACTTGGCCAAATTCTTAGAAAATGTATCACCAAAAGTAGACCAAAAACTATTTACAATTCACAGTTTTCTGATTGGTTGGCTACAATAGGAATTACCCACACTAACGCATGTACAGATTCAATTACCCAGCCAACATTCTATATCGGCCCGACATCAAACCGACATGGTTTTCTATGACGGCCCGATGTCGGCTTTAACCTCGGCTGCAAATAGGAATGATGTTGGCCCGACATCGGCAGAACAATATCGGGCCGACATCTTAACGATATAGGCCCGATATTTCTTGCCGACGTCGGGCCTACATCAAAACAATGGCGGTGCGATGTCAGCCAACAGTAGAAAGATATCGGTCCTATATCGACCAGGTATCATCCTTATGCTAGCATGTTGATGACATCTAGCAACAAGCATTTGGCACAACCTGCAAAAACACAAAAAAAAAGTTAATTATTCTACAAAATTAGACAATAAAGACACATATTTTAACTTAAATGTGCAAATGACAATCACTACCATGATAATGCATGCCGCGAAATCATGTGACAAATATTTTCAAACATAATTTTACATCTAAAAAAGAGACAACAGATAAATTGTGTTTTTCCAATAATTTTAAGTGTAAAAATTAAATTATTAACAGCATTTACAGATTTGTTGAATCATCATTACATTAAAAAACATGCTTTTCATCACCTTCCTTTGTTAGCTTTTCTTTTTGGCGCTTAATCTGTTAATTGTAGGACTGCAGTGAATATTTTCAAGCTTTTCATTTAAGATATAATAAAAGAGTGATTTTTATGTAGTCAAAACGTAAATATTGAATTAAATAACAAACCACATATCATTTCCAAACTCAACTATGATTATTTTAGAAATTCATATCAAAATTTACAATTATTTGCTGCATGATTTTCAATTCAACAGAAAACGCAATATCGTACCAATGTCAATCCGATATACAAAATACTTACATTGATAGGTCATGTAGGCCCGACGCAGACCCGATGTATCTTTTTTGATTTAACACGAAATGTGGTTAATATTGTTCTAGTAATTGAAATCATACACAGGACAATTTATTCACATTATTAAGTAAACACTGGCATTGCAATTAGAATTTTTCAAAATACTCAATATGTCGGCACTACAGCGGCCCGACGTCGGCCAATAGTCGGCATATTTTGCCGACATGCCGACACTAATCCTATATCGGTCCGATATGGTGATGCTGGCTGGGTAAACCGAGCAATTTCCATGTAATTTTATTGTGATAAATGCTCCCGAGAGTTTACACTTGCTCCAGATTTTCTTTTTTACAAATACGTAAATTTGGCAGATGGTGCTTTTATATTTACGTTCTTTCTTGTTCTAAGAAACACGAACTGTTCTGTGTTACTTGCAAAGTATTACTTGTAAATTTTATTATTGAGATATCATACATTCATCGACTGACTAAGGCAGCAATGTTGTGTTGAAGTTAAGGAAACAGATATTTTTCATACGAAGTTATTCTTTGTAACAATTTTATACTTTGTTTATAGTGCTCACCATATGTTTGCATCATTGCAGAGAAGAGGTTTTAAATAAGATTAGTTTATGCATGTTGTGTATAATTATATTATCACAAAACTGTATGCGTGTTCATTTAGACAAATACTTAGACGAACACTTTTCAGATAGGAATATCATAAGTAATCAAACAATGAAATCCGTTTCAAACTTTTAAATGGCATTTTGTTTTAAGAATAGTTTACCTCTTTAGACTGCAAAAGGTCTTCTTAGACAGGGTGCCTTATATATATTATTACTTTTATTATATTATGTTTAAAGGTTTACTT